TGTGATGTAGTCAAAGAGATCTTGGGCAGGCAAAGGCCGCTCAAGGACCAGCATGATGCCTTCTGGTGTCTCAAACCAGTCAAGCAGGTGGATCACGCCAGGGTGCCCACCACCTGCACCCACCTTCCACAGCAGTGCCACCTCGAGTGGGCATGTGGCTGAGTCTGTCTGGGGGGAGTAAGGAGGGAGATAAATAAGAAGGTGTCAGTCAGACCAGTAGCTCTGAGGCTTACTTCTCACGTGAGCTCAAATTATACTTAGCCACCTGTCTGTGTGGCCTTGAGCAGCCCATTTCCCTTCCTGTGCCACAGGAAGGCCTCACGCTAAATAAAGGCTCAAACTCACAGAACCATTGGGAAGGTGAAAGGACCAAAGACCCTATGCACATCAGACACATAGGAGGAGCTCAGTAAATAGTTGAAAAATAAAAGTGGTTCTTAGCAAAAGGCCTTTGGTCAAGAAAGCATTTAATAAATACTATTATGAAATATTTTATCTGTTTTGTTCACTGACTTATCCTAAGAGATTACAACAGTATCTTACACACAGTAGGTACTCAATAAAAGTTTGTTAAATAGGTGGAAGCACTTTATATCATAGGGTCTGACATGGATTAAACAATAAGCACTATCATGGAGTAATGATTTGTCTGTTTTGTTCACTGATGTACCTCAAGCATTAGAACAATGCTTGGTAGCAAGGTAAACACAACCAGTTGCCATCAAGTCAATTCCAATTCCTGGCCACCCCATGTGTATCAGAGTAGAACTGTCCTTCAAAGGGTTTTCAGTAGCTGATTTTTCAGAATAGATCATCAGGCCTTTCTTTTGAGGTGCCTCTGGGTGGACTCAAACTGCCAAGCTTTTGGTTACCAAGCACATCAACCATTTGCACCACCCAGGGACTCCAGTAACAGGACTGGGCTTAATAAATATTTGTTAAATAAAACCAAAACTAAATGCACTGCCATCAAGTAGATTCTGACTTATAGCGACCCACTTTGGATTTGTGAGGTGGTAAATCTTTACAGAGGTTGGTTGCCCCATCTTCCTTCCACGGAGTAGCTGGTGGGTTTAAACAGCCAACCTTCTGGTTAGTAGTCAAATGCCTTAGGCATCAGGGTACCAGGGCACCTTGTTTGTTAAACAGGTGAAAGTAATTAGTAGGAAAGGACCTGGCACAAAATAAGCTCTCAATAAATACTATATTTGCCATGTGCCTAGCACATGGTCTGTGCTCAACACATATTTGTTAAGTAGCTGAAAGTGAGTAATTGCAAGGGACCTAGCACAAAGAAAGAACTCAAAACATTCTATCACGTGTTATTTTGTTACTGTTACCAAGCACCTAGAACAGTGTTGAGTGAAAGTGCTCAGTGGAACTTGGAACACAGTAAGCTTTTATGACGCCTAAGGCATATACCATCAGAACTCAATAAAAGGCATGAATCCTACTGGCCATAAAAGCTGCCCCATCCACTCTGGAAAGCTCCGCGCTGGCACATGGATAGCTATGGCTAAAGGGCCTGAGGTGGGGCCCTCTCCTGGCCAGCTAACTGACTTGCACAGGCACAGGTTTTCTCACGATAATGCAAATCTCACTGCTGCGCAGGCGCACCCTCTTCTAAGGCCCACAGATTAGCAGGCGCAATCTTCTTATGGACCACCAGGGGGCGCGCTCACCCCTACAACTTGCCCTGACCTGGCCTGTTGTCCCTTAGCTTTGTAAAGGCAGGAAAGAGCAGCTACCATCACCATGGCAACCAGTGACCTCTGACCTTCTTTCCTCACTAGCATACCCTGCGGGCAGCCCCCAAAACAATGTTTGGCGGGTAGGTGAGAAAAAAAGGTTGGAGAGGAGAATCCAGGGGAATTGGATTGAGTCAGTATAGTATGGGGTTGTGAATGTCACCTTAGGGGTGTAAACAAGGGCTGGTAGTATTGTTCTCACATTTACAGAGCCCAGGGAAACATCCATCCCCTAGAAAGGAAAGAGAGAGAGTCTACAGATCAAGAAGGACTCCAAATATACTCACCAAGGGAAACCAGCCCAGCACACGATTCCGGGGTATCACTTTGATGGCCACCTGGAGAAGAGGGCCGAGGTGAGGGGACTAGCAAATGACCCCCAGACCCTTCCCAGTTGACTCTGCTCACTTCCAGTGCCTCTCCATTAGTCAGCACCCTAGTCTCTCTGGTTCCCAACCAAACCACACCACAAGTCATCAAATGAGCCAGGGTTTCTTCCCCACCCTCCTCCAAGTCCCCAGAACCAAGTTCACTCCTCCCACTACCCTTAATCCTGGGCTTTCCCTTCTCACTTTTCACGACCCCCCACTTCCAGGTTCTGAGTTCTGAATTTCCTAGCAGCCCAAATCCTCGATTAACGCTGTACTCGGGTTTTGGTCCTCACAACTACATAATGGACACCTGCCTCCAAAATCCCAAAATCTCAGACCTGGGTTTCCGGCACATCCTCTGGATCCTGGTTCTAGTGTCCTTATCACCCCCACTCCCTAATCTCACTCTCTAGACCTCCAGAATCCTTGCCTTGAAATATCCTACCCTCATATACCCTCTTGGACCGTACCCTACCCCACCCCCATCCCCAGGGACACCCACAGCAACCAGATCTTGGTCTTTATGACCCTACTACACACACATCACAGACCCACTCTGCCCCAACCAGCATCCCAATCCCCCGCCCTACATACACACCTGACCCTCCCAAGACATTTGTGGTGAATACCTGAAGTCGGTCTGCGACACGGTGTCCCGCGAAGACAGTGCCGAAGCCCCCCTTGCCCAGAAGGGGGCCGAGTCGGTACTCGGCCTCGAATGCTTCCCGATTCTTGCCTCCTACGCGGGCGGAGGCGAGGAAGTCAGCTGCAGCGGGCTTAGCCATGCTGCGACCCCCTCCGCCCGCGTTCCTCCTCCACTATTCCAACCCTCACCCGCCCTGTCGCGGTAAGGGAAGCTGCGCTCACCTGGCGGCGGCGTGGGAGTCATGGGGGAGGCGGGGAGCCCCTGCAGAGGCTTGGTCAACATGGTGGAGACGCTGCGCAGATTGAGCCCGCTGAGCCCGCAGGGAGGGGGCGCCCGGGCCAGAGCGGCTGCGGAACCAGGGCCAGGGGGCGCCAGGATGGAAGGGAGGGAAACTGGTGGCCCCGGCACGCCAGCAGACGATGCAATGTTAGGATCCACCGCGCGCGCCAGCGCCAACGCTTCTGAGACGGGGCACGCGCCGCCGGGAGAGTCGCCCGGGGCGACGGCCCCGCCCTCTTGGTTTTGGTCAATCCCGACGCGGCACCTGCTGTACCCCAGCCAATAGGAGGCAATCCTTATTTGCAAACCACTCTCAACGTTTAAGTACCCCTTTATGCAAATACCAGCCTGGTGCTTACGAGGGGCGGGACCTTCATGCAAAAGAGGGCGGGCGCGAGGCGGGACGCAAGCCAAGAGGGAACTGGTTCTGGGAATCCCTTTGCAGCACCCGCGTTATTTGTTTTGGTTGTTGAGCAAGGTTGTTTTTTTATACATATATAAAAACTTTTCAAAAAAAAAAAAAAATCTGCGCCGCCTCCGTTCCCAGGAAGTTGGTTTGCCGCGGTCTCGAGATTAGCGCGAAGATAACGCCAGCCCTGACTTCTGAGATAGAGCCCATGGCTCCATTAGACCTAGTCACGATGTGTGCTCCTCACCTAAACTGAGTGCTTTAGGAGGCTAGCAGCCTCCACCTTGAAACTTAAGTTCAGGACCTGGAAGAACCGGTCAAGCCACCAGGGAGCAGTAATCCTCTGACCACCACCATCGGGAAGGCGCTGGTCAAGGGAAGAGTTCCAAAGACGGAAGGGGAGGCCTGCGGGGTGTTTGGGGTGCCCTTAACCTAACCAGACTTGGTTAGACTTGGCTGTAGGCACAGCCAGCAGATCTAGTATCAGGAACATAGGGGTTGAGAGTGAGCTGGAGTGGAGGTGGAGTGGGTTTGCACTTCTGGATGAGAGGCAGGGGCTGAGAAACGGTGGTGGTAGAGGCAGCTAAGAAGGTGGTAACATCCTCAGACACAAAGATGTGAAAACTAAACAGCCAGAGAGGATTTCTACCCCAGGAAGAAAGACATACACTGCAAAGACACAGTAAACACCATGTAAGATACAAACATGCACTGTCACAGTCATATAAACTTGTCCTAGACACACAGACACACACCATCAGAGACTTATACTGACACCCAAAAATGCAACTGCTTGTAGCAGCCAGACACGGTCGTCAGATAGACACAGAGAGATACGCTGTTACGGAAGAAGGCACTCAAGAGACTCATGCATAGACTGACATTACCCTGTGACAATGATACAGAAAAGTCCTGTCAGATACAATGACAGAACCTGCCATGAAAGCACCATCACAGAAAGACTTGTACTGTTCCAGAAATGAGAGACCCAGAGTCTGACACAAGATACACAGATGCACATGCACTGCTCCAAAGGCAGACATACATACTGTTATGATGGACCCACAGAGATACATGCAGTGTCGCAAAGACATGGGTAGACTGTGGACCGGGCCATAGACATACATGCACCTTCAGACATGCAGCCTTGTCACTGAAACAAAATGTCCAGAAATAGCTCCCCAGAATCTGCCACAGGAATAAACACAGACATACACCCCCATCAGACAGAAACCACAGATGCACTGTCACAGATCCACACTTCTCACAGATAGAGACACAAACTGTCAAGAGTCCCACACTCACCATCTGATGCATCCATCTCTCTCACACACACACCCCTACTGGAGACACTCTGAGATGCACATGAAGACTTGGACTCACCAGTCACACACACAAGACAATATCCAAAAAGCAAATATACATTATTCTCCTTATTCAGCCAACATTAGGGGTCTACTGTATGGCTGCGAGAGAACCCTGGTGGCACAGTGGTTAAGCTATTGGCTGCTAACTGAAAGGTCGGCAGTTTGAACCCACCAATTGCTCTGCGGGAGAAAGATGTGGCAGCTGTTCTATAGGGTCTCCATGAGTCAGAAATTGACTTGACAGCAACAGGTTTGGGTTTCTTTTTCTTTTTTTTTGGTAAGGCTGCCAGGCCCTGAGGGACGAGAATGGTTATTACAGATACAAAGATGAGTCTGGCATCATAGTCCTTGCCCCAAAGTTTATTGGAGAAGGGGAAGTAGAGACCTATTTGTAGATAGAGGGAGAATGTGAATAGGATCACACAGGGCTTTTCAGGTGACCCTTTACCAGTCTTCAAAGACAAGGCTGGTGGCTGGGGATGGAGTAAAGGCAGATTCCAGAGACAAAGGAAACTGGACAGAGCAGCAAACAGAGGTAAGGAGGAGGCAAGTGGTGCAGAAATGTCAACACCAAGATAATAAATAATACACACTAACATCTGCACTCTCAATGTACCAGGCACTGTCACATTACATTGACCATATGCATTATCTCTTGATGCTCACAACCAGAGAGCATGAGGTAGTTAGACATTAATCACTGTTTAATAAACAGATAGGAGATATGAAACTCAGACTAAGTGATTTGACCAAGGTCATGGAGCTAGTTAAAAGCCAAGGAAGGTTTCAAACCAACTCTGCAACACATACACATACCCCTCAGACACACAGCCAGCCAGCCACACCCTCACCTGCAAACACTCATCATTCTACAGGGGCCCATTACAGAAGCAGCGGTAACAAAACACTTGCGAGAAAACAGGGCAGGGGGATGGGTGGTGGCAGCCATTCTTCTAGTGCCTCAACTTTGCTCCTAGGAAGGGCAGGGAGAGGTGTCAGAGGACTGGGGGACATGAAAAAGCAGGGCTTGGGCTAATCCTAAACTGCTAAGACCTACTTGGAGAGGGCCCTCGGGTCTGTTCCACTAAACTCATGTTGCTATGAAGTGTCAGTTGTGCCTTTCCAAGTCACAAAAGCAAACATTCATGGTGTAAGAGGCAGGTGGAATTCCGACAGGAAATTCAGTCCTTGCCCTCAAGGAGTTCAGAGTCCTCTGCTCTTAGCACACCTCCAGGAAACAAGGCAGGCAGGCTGCATCTGTGCCAGTACTGTGTAGGGGCAGTGGCAAAGATGGAGCTTTCTTGGTGGCAACAGGTCCATAAGGAGATTTTAGTAAGCGAATTAACACAATATGGACAAACTCCAGGCCCCCAAGTGGATCCTCCTGGGGAACATGGAGTCCTCAGTGGTCAAGTCAAGGTCTGTACCATTCTCTACTATCCATGGCCCACCCACCTCCTGCCCCAGATAGAACAGAGCCACTCAGGGAAAACTGACATTTGGTTTTATTGTACCAAGGACATTACAGATGGCAGATCTTGTCAACACCTGCAGGGCACAGGTGCCCCATCTGCCGAGGCTGCTCCCACTCCCCACACTCAAATCCTGGGTGGTGGCCATGATCTCCAAAGATGCCCCCCCCCCACTCCAAGATTCCAAAGAGTCTGGTGGTGGTGGTGGAAGCAAAAGGAATGCAGTGAGGTCAGAGTCTCATTGTCCAAAGCCAGTCTGACACCTGCTCACCCACCCCCACCTCAGCTTACACCCACCTCCACAGAGCCAGAGGTCAGAAGATAGCAACCACACTTCTGTGTCCCCTCCATACACCATGGCTTGCCTGTCCCCAAACCAGAGAGATGTCACCTTCACAGAGCCAATGCTGTTGTCTAGATCATTTTTGATTGGCTGATTGGCTGATTTTATAAGATAAAAGTACACTTTAGTAAAGAAAAATTCAACATTGAAGGCTCAGACATTATTAGGGGTATGGGAAGGGGATTTTCCACTTCTCTCCCCCACCTCCCTGGCATCATTTTTTTGGGGGGTAGGGGGTTGGACAAGTTTCTCTGATCTTGGGAGGAATGAGGAGCAGGGAGACTTTCCTCTGTCTGAATGTCTGGGGCTGCCTGGCTTCCAGGTGGTTTGTCTCCATGTGCCTCTCGCCTACCTTTGGCACCCTTGCCTGAGTCCCCTGTGGAATGCAGGGAAGATGCTGTGCAGGGGGCAACAGGGCACATCAGCTGGCGGAGACTGGTGGTGGCGGCAGCAATGAGGGGAGCACAGGGTGGGCCAGCCAGAGGGAAGGGAGGGGTGAGAGGGAGAAGGGAAGAAGGCAAAGGGGAAGAAAGCCAAAGAAGGTGGGGTGGCACCAGAGGGCAGGAGTGGTGGGGTTTGGGAGATGGTCTCCAGTCCCTGGGTCTCCATCAACTCTTGTCTGGGGGTGGGTCTCTGTGCACTTTGTTTTTCTTCATACTGTCTAGGTATTCCTGTTGGGACACTGCCAGCACCGATGCTAGGATCTCATCATCATCCCAGTCATTCAGACCTGCTGGGCAAGAGGAAGGGGAGAAGGATGATGTAAAAGTTGGAGTTCTCCTGGTCTGCCTTCTTTCCATCCTGGCTCTGGAGGAAGCCCAACCAGGCCCCTTATCACTCCTCTCTCAAGGGCAGACACACACACAATGAAAACCCCACTCAAGGCTACTCTCATTCCTTTCTCTAAGGAAGGCTCCTGAGTCTAAAAATCCTCCCTCAGATACTTTCTGGGATAGATCTCTTGGACTGAAAATTTCCCTCCAGCACCTCTCACTCTTTTTCTTGGGAAAATGGCCAGAGTCTGCAAAAGCCCCCTCCTTAGGATTAGCTGCTTCTTCCAGCCTCTCCCTAGCTCCCAGCTGCTCCCTGTCCCTGAGACAGAGGAAGCTTACCAAAGGCAGAAGGGGACATCTGCTGAATGAGGGCCCGACACTCCAGAGCAGGGTAGAGGGATACAAGAGGGGAGGTGGCCCGGTCAGCCCCTGCTGAGAACTGGCTGCTTGTACCTGGGGCAAATGGACAGTCAGAGGCAGAGCCCAGGACCCAGGTAGCACCTCCTAACCCCAGCATTCTCCCTGTGAGCAAGTCACTGACCTGGTGCACAGGGCGAAGGAGGTTTGGCAAGAGCTAAGACAGTGCCTGGAGAAGGGGGCTTGATACCCAGCTCGGCATGCAGCTCAGGATGCTCGGGGGACGAGGCTGAGCTCCGCTGCCGTGGGGACCGGCTGGTCCACTCCTCCAGACCACTGGATGCTGCTGCTGTGGCTGAACTGCATGTGGCGCTAGCTTTCCGGGGCTGCAGTGGGGAAGGAAAAGGAGGTAAGATACCAACACCAGACATGATGACCCTCCCCTGTCCCATCCCTGAGTGCTCCCTCCCTTCCTAGAATCCTGGCTATGATACAGCTTCTACACAGGTCACAGGTCACTGTTGTGGAATGAACTGTGTCCCCCCCCCAAAGTATGTGCTGGAATCCTAACCCGTATACCTGTAGATGTCATCTCATTTTGGAACATTTGTTGTTAGTTAGGCCTTTTACTTCTGAGATGTGAAACAAGGATTTTCTTCCAGAGTAGACACAGAGAGAGCCTTCTGCTAGAGCTGGTACCCTGAATTTGAACTTCTAGCCTCCCAAATGGTGAAAAAATAAATTTGTTTGTTAAAGCGACACACCTGTGATATTTCTGTTATAGCAGCACTAAACAGTCACCATTCCAAACACAGAACCACAGGACAAAGTTTAAGCTCCTTAACCTTTCTCTCTAAAGTCAACCTGAAGGGAAGTCCTGTCACTTCTACCTTCAAGGTACAGCCAGAAGCTAAATAATTCTCACCACCTCTACTGCCAGCACTATAAGCCCCCTCCTCATTGGTCCCCATGCTTCTACCCTCACTCTCTAGATTCTATTCTACACTCAGTAGCTGGGGGGGGATCCTGTTAAATTCTAACTCAGATCCTGTCCCTCCTCTGTTCAGAATCCTCCTATGGCTTCCTCCTCACTCAGAGTAACAGCCCAACCCTCTGTCTTCTTGACATATGGTTTAGCTAACTCCCTCACCTTCTACAAAGTTTTGCTCAAATCTTACCTGCTGTGGCCTACGCTGATCACACTATTTAATATTGTGAACTCCTATCTCCACTCAACCCTATCTATTCCTCTTACCCTGCTATCTAAATTTCAACCAAAGCACCCCAACTAACTTACCCATTATGCTTGTTATTTTGTTTCCCTTTGCAAGAATGCAAGCATTACAAGGACACGGATCTTAGCCTGTCTTGCTCACCAATGTACCCCCATACACTGAGAATAATGCCTGTACACTGAGAAAGGTATTTGGCACAGACCTTCAGCTGAATTATTCAGCTCTTGTCAATATATACAATCACTCCAAACTCTTTCTTGTGAGTCCTCAAATGCCTGTCTATCTTGTTCCTTCCCTGCCCTAAAAATTCAACCTTCTTCTGTAAAGCATGACCAGAGCCCCATCTCCAGGGGCCTCCAAGCTAGGGTGAAGGGCCCACCTATGTGTCTGTCTCTCTCAACAGACAGGGGATCATTGTGGACAGAGCAGGCTGGATCTGATTTTACATCCTCAGCAGAGCCTGGCACACATGGGGCTTTCAACATAAGCCTGTCTCTCTGAAGCTATCCACCTCTCTCTTATGTAACCAGCAACCACTGCCCTCCCTCATACCATAAGTTTGTTCTGCCCAGGCGTTGAAAGTTCCAAGGCACAATGCCAAGACTAAAGCCAAAATGAGGTACAGACTAGGCTGGGAACTTCCTTCTTTCCCAAATGTCAAAACAGCTTAATTTTTTCTGCCCATTTGGAGCCAGAGCATGGGAATAACAGGTTCTCAGCCAGGCAAGCAACAGGGCTGATGACCTACCTGGGTGGGGCCACGGACTTGGCGGGCCTGTTTCTCCTGATCCCGCAGCCACTGCAGGTAGGATTCCCGAGCCACTTGTTCCTCAATGGCTTCATTGGTGGCCTCCCAGTCTGTAGCCCGCTTCTTGTCTTCTAGCATCTGTTGTTCAATCCATGACTCCTCCGATGTTTTTATGGCATTCTTCATCAAGGACTGCTCTGCAAACTATAAAGGAGAGAGGAAAAGAGATGTGAGGTGACACTCAACATTACCCAAGAGCCAGAATTATCTCAGAGAGGTAGGCCCACTAGCCCCAGAAAATGTAAGAAGGTAGGTAGGTACTCTGGCTAAGCACCCCTTGCCAGACAGCCTATTCGTCAAGGATTGGGAAAACGCAGGTCTAGGCCACATAGCCTGTCATTACCAATTCCTATGCTCAGAAGCCCTGTCCCCAGCCCCAAGACAACTCAACTGAAGCACCAAGTGTGGGATACACAGGTGCCCTCCAGCCTAGGCTTTAGTTCACAGAAGCCCCAGAGACCAATGACTGAGTTTCATAATGTTCATATATACCCAAAGGGAAAAGATTACCTGAGAAAGTAGCTGTGAATACAAAGGGTAGAGGGAGAATTTAAGCATGTAAGTGGGTAGGGGAAGCAGCACTGGTGTGTGAGAATGAGTAGTAGTATTACTATGGTGTGGGATGCTATGAGCTGTGGGACATTGCATGAAAGTATTGTTTTCAGGCCGTGTGTTATACGGCATTTAAAAAAGATAAAATAGAAAACATCACAGTAGAACCCAGGGAATGAATGTAAATATTGTTTCCTGAAACTTTCATTTTGATTATTTTTTAACATATTTACACATACCACACGCAAGTGCATGTGGGCTAACTTAATGATGTAAAATATAATTTTTTTTAATGTAGACAATTAAAAAAAATCAAAACCAAACTCACTGCCGTCAAACCAATTCCGACTCTAGAGACCCCCGTTGGGCTCCCAAGGCTTTAAATCTTTATGGAAATAGATTGCCCCATCTTCCCTCCATGGAGCGGCTGGTAGATTTGAACTGCTGACCTTCTGGTTAGCAGCCAAATGTCCTACCCACTCTGCCACCAGAGCTCCTTGTTGTTGCTGTTGTTACATGCCATCGAGTCGGACCCGACTCATAGCGACACCTCCTTGGGTTTCCAAGGCAGTATCACTACGGAAGTAGATTGCCCCATCTTCCTTCCAAGGAGTGGCTGGTGGGTTTGAAC